TGCAACCTGATGAATACTGAAATTTAAAAAATTATTATTGAAATTGGAAGCCTCATCTAGAAAGAAATGTCTCTAAAAACATCCAGATTAAAGTTGGATTAGTTTTTATTGAACTTTTGTTTGTCATTTGTGCTTTTGTCTGTTCTCCCTTCTTCCCTTCATGTTTCTGTTCGTAAATAATGTTCTAATGTGATGTTGGCTGCATATGGGACTATTTACTTTTCTTTATACCGTATGTGATTTATCTTTCATTTTATATGATTATAAGATACCTTAATGAAATGTAACATGCATGTTATGTACATTTCAGTATTATAGTACTAAAATTTGTGTTTTATTTTGTCCATCCCATATCATTGTGGGTAGGCCAAATAAAAAACAACTATCTGCAAAACACAGTTCAGCAGCACCACAAACTATATTATCCACAATAATAATACAACCCGATAAACTAGGAACTGACTGTATATCTTCCAATAAAAGTTCAGGATCCTCAATGTTGCAAAGAAAAAGAGAGTGGAAACTTCATGTTGATCTTGTGGTGGCTGATCTGGTCTGAAGAACTTACTGGAAAAGTTCTTTGATCCTTGTGGGGCCAGTACTGTGTGTCCTGCCTAATTAACAATCCAGTGATATGTGAGCCCTGAGAATACCAGCTGCTGGTGTTTCAGGCATCTGGAGCCTGCCTGCATCCTATTCCTTCTTGTGCATAACAACAGTGATGATTTGTATTACACCTTCCATGTTTTGTCTTACCACCATCTTTCTGTGTCTTTCATATACTCTAGTTCTGTTTTAAATCAACAAGCTGTTTCCTACTGTTTCTCAGTTGTGTCCCTTGACTCTCTTCAGTCCAGGGTTTTTTAAATAACAGCAACACTCGACATCACAGTCACTGGTAATGAGAGCGTGGGCAGCGCCTTTACTTGGAAGCTTGCCATGTTCCATTAACTCTCTCCTAAAGTCACCAATGCAGGAAACAAAACTGATTTCCTCTCTTTAGAAAAAAGCAGGTGTGACTCATTCCCCAGTCAAACCTCCCTCCACACTTTCTCTTTCTGCTTCCATTCCTGTCACTCCCTACTCCCAATGTGTCCTCAAAACACTCCTCCAGCATCTCTAAGCAAATAATCAAATAATTACGATGCAGCAGGTTGCCAGGTCCCGGGTCTGCTTCCCTGCTTATCTTCCGCTCATTATGTCAGCAGCACCGTCATGCAAATGCGGGTTTGCTCAGAAAAATGGGAAAGTAGCAGTGACAGAGTGTGAGTGTTTGAGCACCTGCAGGCATCTGTGTGTTTTTTGGAGAGAGACCATGTATGGCCAGAGGGCTCGAAACATTCTTCATGTTTATTTATTTTCTCCTTTGTGTATCTTTATAATTATATAATAAATATAGAATTATGATTTTGCCCCCTTCACTTACTTGGCTGCTGAAAGAACTGAAGGTTTTTGTATTGGCATTCATTACATGTCATGTAGCTTTGGCTACATGCCTAAAATATAATTGTCTTAACAGCAGGAGTACTTTTGACAGACTGCAAATAAACCAAATAAATACATAATATATTGCACATCAGCATGTATGAGCTCAATGTCTAATAAGCTGATGAGCATGGCAGGGGAACTGCTGAATAGAGGAAAAGCTCACTGTTTTTCAGACAGATGTGGGATGATAACAGATGTTCAATAAAGAGATTATTCTAAATATTTGCCAGTCTAAAACTGGAGAATTCAGATAAAGTGCAGTGTGTGCCATTTGATTTCAAATTTGGTGCCTGGAATGGACACCTGGATATTTTTAACACTAGATGGTTGCAAAATGACCTTAGTAACAACAAGTAATTGCCACAGTTCAAAGTACAAAAAGTGATTTTTAGCCAAAGCTAACTACACATGAGGGATGTGGTCAAGGTTATGAATTAAATTACTGCTCAGCTAAATAAGTGATACAAATTTGCTTTCTTTTTTTTTGTTAGCAATCAACAACAACCTACACAATATTTATTAGTCTCCAAAACATTTACAGCAGTCAGAATCAACCGTATGTTTTAAAGAATCTGCTGGTGAATAATATGTGTTCCCTTTCTTTGTAAATTAGTATTACTATGTAAATAAAACAGCACCCAGCGGTTGAGTTCATGATCATCATTGTAAAGAGACATCTATCCATAGGCAGTGACTTATATGTGTCACAGTCTGTCTCTGTTCCCACTTCCCTAATCTGCTCTGCAGTTGCCTGGCCATCCCTGCCCACCTCCTCAGCTGTATCTAATTTCTTCATCAGCCCTGCAGATGCTTAGCTGGCCCATTCCTACTCATCTGTCTGTTCATCCTAGTTGTTTTGTTGGTTTCTAGTTTTGTGCTTTTGTGTTCGAGTATCTGTTACCTGAATCTGTACACCTGCCTGCCTTGCTATATGTACCTGCCTGCAAGTTATAGCTTCAGTCAAGACATCCCACCGCCTCCTTTGTCTGCATTTGGGTCCTATCCCTGATGCTCTGCATAACCAGCCTTGACAATGTGAGATTTTAATTTGTAATGTGGAGTATTAGGGCCATACTAAGAGAAACATTTTTTTTTTGGAGGGGGGGGGGGGATTACGAGAATAAAGTTGTAACATTACGAGAATAAAGTCGTAACATTACGAGAATAAAGTCATAATATTGCGAGAATAAAGTACTAATTTTATGAGAACTGTCAACGACGAACTTATCAATACGTTATCTTACCCGTTGACTGTACGGTAGGACTGAGACAAACAGCGGCTGCTGGGCTCAGGCTGAGGCTGCTGTTTGGTTGAGCTGGTCTCGTCAGATCTTGATAACTCTATCGAAGCTTTTTTCTCATTAAAACGACTTTTTTTCTTGTATAATTGTTACATTATTCTCGTATTATTACGACTTTATTCTCGTAATATTATGACTTTATTCTCGTAATTTCCAAAAATATATTTAAAAAACATCTTAGTCTGGCCTTGATACTCCGTCGTAATATACTGCACAATATCGGACATTTTAAAAAAGAAAGCCAAACAATTATCTGGGGGACACCTAGTGGTCAGTTAATATACAGCTACACACTGCTCACATAGCCTCAAGTACTTTTCATTTGCACATACAGGTGGCATTGTCTGTTGTATTGTATACTACTGTATACTAACTTGGTTGTGTATGAGTAGTCCTGGATCTTGGACTCATCCAGGGATTTATTTATTCTGTTTTTTTTTTCTTTCTCTGTCTATTCAAATAGCTATGCAAACTTTTAATCTTTTAGGACAGTTTTAACCACACAATGTTAAATACATACTGGTAGTTGTGCATGTGTTTTGTGTATTACTTTACATTTATACTGACAATTTTCCAAAAGACATGTTGCAAATATTATTAGATTGATTTCCTTATCTCCAGTTAGCCTTTGTTTTGTCTCCATTCCAGTTCTGTATTGTAAATGGTATGTAAACCTGCAGAAAGATTAAACAAAACAAATATTAAAAAGTCACAGTTATAGTTATATAAAAATAGTTGTACGGCTGTAGTTGCCTCACAGAAAGTGTTATCCACCATGTCTTTGTCACCAAGCAGCTGATGTCTGTGTAGGTTATGCTCAGATAGAAACTCTCTGTGGGTTTTAAAGCTCTTTACAACCATGTCCATACCACCAGGCCATCTGACCACAAGCTCAAGGATAATGCAATTTGCAGTCATAACACTAATAATAAGATAAAAACATCATTTTGGAGCAATATTTTTTATATGTGCCATATGGGACACCAAGAAACAGTAATCTGGATAAATTCAGGACTTCATGGTGACTGCTGGCTCCCAGAATAATTTATGCTCCATAAGTTTTTATCTGAGTTGTTGTAGGGGAGTCAAAACTTGACAGTCTGCATATTGATTGATTGGCATGTTAAGTGGAAAGAGAAAAGAAAGAGACTTCTTGCTCCCCTTTCTTTTTTTGTACTTACGTATGTACGATAAAATATATTTGTATGTGTATGCCATCTTGTGGGGATGGTGGGAAAATAGTAAAAGCAATCAATGCAGAATAATGACCCCTGTGACTGTTGTACTATTATAAATTATATCATTATTCTGTCCATGTACATTGAGAGCAACATAAAACTGGAGTTATAGTCTATGTGTACAAACACCTGGCCAATAAAAGTTATACTGATTACATTATTATTACTCGTACATTGACATAAAAGCAGGATTTTATGGCTGTAGTTGATTGTCGTGGAGCTATTTTTGAACTATATTTTGATAAGACTGCAACAAATTACTATTTTCATTATATTTCATTATTATTAATCTTCTGATTATTTTCTCCAATAATTGTTTGTAAAAGAAAATCTGAAAATAGTGAAGAATGCTGGCACAATTACCCAGAGTTCAAAGTGACACATTCACAATGCATTCGATCGTTCAAACCTTAAAATGATTAACAATAAATTAAAATCATTCAAAGGAAAAGCAGCAAATCCTCAAACCTGTAAAGCCAGAACCATGAAATGTTTTACATAAAAAATGAAATCATTATCAAAATAGTTACTAATACGACTAATTGTTTTAGCTGTACTTGGGTTGGGTAGTTTAATTTATAATAAAACATTATATTTTATAAACTATTCATATGTTTTGAGTGTAAAAATTTAAATTAGTAAAGTCTCTAAAGCTGTCAGATAATTATAGCAGAGTAAAAAGTGCATCATTTCACTCTAAATTGTAGATTGTAGTGGAGTAGAAGTAGACATCAAAAGACTTACTTTAAAGTTGTAGTTGTAGCACAGTAGGCTACATGAGTAAATGTACTCAGCTGCATTTAGCCACTAATTACCCATGTATCCATATCCTGGTGGTTTGGGGAGAAATACTGAACAGTGCTCCTCACTCAGTCAGCAGTACTTTTACAGCGGGGTACTGACTGAACAGTTCTCTGGCGCCATCTTGCGGCCGCACCGAGTAAGCGCAGCTACAAAGTGAAGCACGGTGCCTCCGCTTTGCCAGACCCTGATTCTCCGCCAAGTTGAGTTACACGTCAGTAGGGAACCTGTACTGGTGAGTGGACGTGTACAGCGCGCGTCAGGCGGTTCCCGGATGCACCAAACAGAAACATGGAACGGGTAGTGGTGGAAGTGCCGATCAACAACGGTGAGATACATTACCACCTGCACGTCTACCGCGCCGTTCAACCACTTATATTAACGTGTCCTAAACGGCATTTTGGTGCTTCTTTAGATTCGTGCACAAATGCTCCTCCTCCTCTGACGCATAGGTTCGGCAGTGAACGTGTTGCAGGCTCAGCAGGGCTACCAGAGCTTTACAGGCCATTTGTCTCGTTTTCTGTGTGTGGGGATTCTTGTAGCTGCAGGCTGCCGTCTGCTTGTACTTGTGCGCTGTGACAGAGCTACTGTCACCTGTCAAACAGCAGTTCTGCTGCTGTCACCACTTACCTCTGCACCAAAACACAGACCCAGTGTATTCCCCATCATGGCTGTTTAATTATATGCATAGTAATAACATGTAATTACATAAGTACACAGTGATTGTAAAAGAATCCACTGAGAAAAATAGTCCTCTGCTCTAGAATATAGGCTATAATAGTCCCTATACTCATCTAACATAGATCAGTTCAACCACTACCACTTGCAGCAAGGAAGTATAATGGTTTTGGTCCAATAAAAACACAGGGTTTCCTAGGTTACAGTGGGTTCAGCCCCCTTTCTCTCTTTCTCTCTCACATATGTCCAGTTGCACTTGATATCTCCAGTGCTAATAATAGTTGTGTAATTATAGGATATCATTTATTTATTACCTTTTAGTGAAGGTCAGAGTGGTTCTGAAGCAGACCCTCTGTGTGGACAATGGTTTCATTATCTAACCTCGCTGTGTTTCAGCACATTCTAGGCTGCCTCTATTCTATTCAATTATGTTCTATTCCCAACTTCAGGTTTTTCCCTCGCTGGCCCTTCCACAACGCCACGAAAGCGACAGGTGCGTTTTTCAGCACGGCATGACATCATCCTTCTGCGGGAGGTTATCGCACAGAACCCCTTCGCCTCAAAAGAGCCAGGTCAGTCCTGTTTCTAAAGGAAACAGAAAGAGCTGCGGTTCCTGCATAACAAATGTGGACAATGAGTGGTCAGTTCAAAATATTTCTAGTGGACCTTGAATGACATTTAATCCAGAAAACATTTAAAGAAGAAGGATCTATTGACAGAAATGGAATATAATATTTATAGATATGTTTCCATTAGTTTATAAAAAAAAAAACCCTGAATATAGGTATTGTTGTGTTGCCATGTTTCTACAGTAGCCCAGAAAGTACAACCCGAACACTGGAGGTAGATAGGGCCTTTCACATTTTCATTCCCTATGTCTGTGTATTCATGCTGGTTACAAATGTCCATTTTCTATATACTGTATATTCATGTGTGTGAACTCATTCATCTTTATCAGGACGGATCTGGGCCCGTGTGGGGGAGATCATCACTGCAGCCCTCCAAGATGAAAACTTTGAGGTGGATGCCAGGCGGTGTAGGGAGAGGACCATGCTGCTGCTAGACTACTACAAGAAACAAGACTTTCCCAGTCTGCGCAGGTTGGTTCTTTCACTAGCACCCACATGATGGATGAAGTAGATGTGTGATGACTTGGAGATGTGCTCAGTCTTACTAAAAAGAAACACAAGTTTATTGTGTATGTGTTTTTGGTGAACTCAGGTTTGGAACTGAGAGGTTGTATGCCCAAAAGGAGGATCTGCTCCATGAGGTTTTGGAACTGGAGGCTGAGAAGGGGTTGCTGGCCAGTGGGGAAAGCACAAAGTACCAGGTGGGTGTCAGTGGTGTCATGTTAGTAGGGAAGAGTACATAAACATGTGTGACACCACCAGGGTAAGAAATGTACTTTCATTGACTCTGTAAGTTACAGCTTCTATTACACAACTTCATGCTGCAGTTTATTTATTTTATACAACAGTGGTACTTCTTTTTCGTACAGACATTGTTCTTAGCCACAGATTAAATTTAAGTGTACGATTTCTCACATTTATCTGAGCAGTTCAATAGATTTTAATGTTCTCTGCAACTACTTGGTCATTTCCTCTTTCTTCCTCCTGGTGGCACTTAGTCACAAGTAAACTGACACTATTACTGCTCCTACAACTACACTTTCTGTTACTACTCTTAGTACTAGTGTTTCTTTTACTGTAACTTGGCACTACTATTGGTAACACCTGCTATTATGAATATAGTTTCTGCGGTCATATCTTCATTTCATTTTCTCATAAATTTTTTTTTATGGTTGGAGAAGTGATAAGTAATTGTATCCTCATCTTTCCTATAGGAGGATGAACTGAGAAAGCGAGCCATAGAAGAACTAACTCTACCAGAGCAAGACAAACCCAACGTCAGTATCACACAAACACCCGCTGCAGGTAAAAACTGATTCAGAGCAAAAGACAGCAGCTGTCACTTGTTTAACACATAGTTAAAAGATAATGTATTCATTATTGCCTCCAGTTATTTCTACAGGTATGTTGTATTTGAGGTAGCTACTATATTGTGTGTTTTTAGTCACAGCACACCATTCTCTTTAATGATGATGGGTTTGCACATATGCAACAAATTCAGTTTATTTTGTCATAAGACACTGGTTTTACAATTTAACTATCTGTAATGCAGTGTAAACAAAAGTGAAAGTAATGAGTTCAGGTTCTTCCTTAAACGGAATAAATGATCAAGTCATTCAGCTAATAGAAAACAAATTTAAATCATACAAAATCTGTCTTTAAAAAAGTCACCTGATGTGGTCTGAAAATGTAGCTTCTTTTTTGTTTTGTTTTATTGAGAATAAAGGTTGTAGTCAGCTTGGATGTTTCGCCACATCTCTAATAACATGTAACTCAGATGTTTCTTTATGACAAAAACATAGACAGACGTTGTGTGGATAGCACAAACAGTAGTAAGATGCTTCGGTGGACCCTACGCTGTGATTCCAAATTATTTATTTTCTGACCTTACCCAAAATTTTCTACAGGGGAGTGTTTCCAACTCAAAAAACAGACTTTGGTGGAGCTTAAATCCCTCAACTTCAACTCTCAATTTCAAGTTGAAGCCTGTATAAGCAAGTATTTGCCCTCAAGTGTGTCACTGACTGTTCCCTTCAAAAGTCTGTACATTTGAACATACTGTCACAGCAGAACCAGAAGAAGACCGCGAGGAAATGGCAGAGCTCTCAGCAGCGCCCATGGCCAAGCGGCCCTGCCAGTGCTGCTGCCAGACGTATTCTGAGATTCTCAGCTTCCTGGAGAAACGCTCAGAGGCGGAGCAGCGGCTGCGAGAGGACGAGCTCGCTCTGCGCCGGGAGGAGCTAGAGATTCAAAGGAGTAAGATTTTCACAGTAGTGAGTAGTGAAGTGTGATTTTGTGTGATTTTCAATGTAAGGGGGTTCAAATATTTGTCATGTTATGTGGATAGTATCATCTTGCAAAGTGGGTTTTAATTAGTTTTAGAGCCACAACTTGTTATTAGAGTTATCAGGGCATCAATTGTAACTACAATAGGCATTAAATCATGTCTGCTGATGCAAGGCCATTTATAATGCAAGGCAGTTATAAATGTCAGTTGAAAAGGATCAAAGTTTTCTTTGCTTATCTCATAATAAAGGAGGAAATAATTGCTGTATATGCTCACTGTTGATGCTGCCATTATCCTCAAGGGGCACTGAATTACAGATTTAATTTCTCTGTTTTTCTTTTACTCTCAGGTAAGATTGCTCTGGAGAGGGAACGTCTGGGAGCTGAGAGAAAAGAGAGGGAACGGAGATTTGAGCTGGAGAGCCAAGAGAGGCAGGTCATCTTGGACCTGCTAAAAGAGAAAGTGCTAAAAGGCTGACAGAGGAAAACTGTATCACCTGAATTTTAATGCCATCTTTAAAAAAAAGAGTCAAACATGTTATACAGAAAAAAAAACGTGGTCGACTCTAAAAAGAGGAAAGAAAACAAAGAAACTAGAAGTGAAAAGAACAATGGTTGTTGGTTGTTGGATGTAGGTCAAAGACCTGCTAACATAACCAAACAATCTGATCAAAGAAAGGAACAGTGAATATTTGAAATGGAGGAGAGTAATGTAAGATGTGCAGTTGCCTTTGTCGAACTTAAGTGAATACCAAAAGAGACATAAAACTGCTGACAGTGTTTAAAAGCTGCAATATTTGCCTAAACTAGCTGCTGATCCATATAGATGGCAACAGTTCCACAGATCCCACAGACTGCATGAGGATTTAAAAGTGCTGCAAATACTGGAGCGTCATCTAAGAAATAGCATGCAGAAAAGGGTGCGGTTTCTTAGGTGTGATAATACACTGAGCCAAAACTGGCTATGGACAGCTGTGCCAAGTTGGTCTGTTGCACAAAAGTGGATAAATGCAGTCTTAATGTGACGCCAACAGCAGTATGTTTTAATGAGTCCTGTTCACAGTGTAAGGGACACCATTCTTGGTTCAAAGCTGTATATTTAGACATTTAACATTAAGGTTATAGTGCAGCTCAAGGTTTTTGAAAACCCTGTAGCATTAACATATTAATGACTTTACATGACTTTACTTCTTTTTCAATGTGAAGACCTTTTTGATTAAAATAGAAGTAAAATGATATTTTAGTGACCCACTGTACATTGACTGGTAAGCACTTTTACACATATTTTTACTGAAGTGATTAGGTGTGTTACATTACTTTTGCTATAATGTGTCAACATCCTCATTATGAATGGTTACTTCCAGATGTCATACTGTCATGGGTTAAAGTTACAGTATTACACAAACAGGAGCACTTTATGTTCCACTGATTTACAGGGTGTTTTTTTTCCTATATGTTGTTCATAAAAATTATTTAAATTAATATGTTATTTTTCCCCACAAGTCCCCACAACATTGCCCATGTTGTATAAAAAGAAATCATTTAAAGCCAAGTTTGTGTGGGTTCATCACATTGACAGTATATATAATCACGCTCATCATCACCATCATTCAACTTACAACAAAGTGTGATTGCACATGACTCCAGCTGGCTTCCAGCACTATGTGGCCGTTTATACCACATACAGCTTTATGAATTGGTGATATGTAGATGTGCACATCTACATATTATCATAATAAGGTTCCCACTAATCCAATGAAGCTTAAAACTGACTTTAGCATGCTAGTATTTTAAGCCTGTGTTAAAATCCTCGGAAGAGCATTGGTGGAATGAACATTTTTCAAGTAGGATATGTGCTTACTTGCACTATAGTTGAGTATTTCCATTTCATGTTACTTTAAGATAAGATGTTCTTTTATCGATCCCCCGTGGGAGAAATTCAAGTTTGACACAGCAGCACAGGGGAAATGTAGTGCAAAAAGTGTAAAAATATAATAAAGAATAGGCCTACTAACTAAAAATATTAAAAATAAAGATATAATAGAAAATATAAAGACCATAATTAAAATATATACACCATATGCAGTATAAACTACATTTTTACTTTACACTTATCTGCTACATTTCAGAGGAAAATACAGTAATATTTCCTCCACTACATTTATCTGAAAGCTTGGCTAATTCCATGCTACACCCTTTCACCCAGTCAGATTTTACATACTAAACATATGATTATTCTATCCATCATTATCATTTATCATTAATAATGCACCACAAATGTGACAACTACAGCACACACTCTGCACAATGGGCACTTTTTCTATTTTGCTGATAAATAATTGAATGCAGTGTTTACTTGTAAACAAGTATTTTACAGTGTGTTTACTACTTCGAACCACTGCCTGTTTCTTGCTACATGTTGAGCTGCCTGTAGATTTGGGTCAAAACAACTTTCTCACCGCTTTTAGATCGTTGCGCTTTAATTTTAGGTCACACGAACCCCAGGCGCTGATTGGTCGGCATTATATCATTCTGTCTGTCCCTGTCTCTCTGTCGTTACGCTCTAGTCTTTGATTGGTTCTCTTCAACGTCACTCCCTCTTTTCATGCACCCAATGAACGTGTGCTGGTGGCGTCTTTTCCCCTGCTGCCACCGCATTGCTACAAAGTTTACAGTAGCTACATTTGAATGCTACCGGTGGAGTTTTGTATTTACAACATTGTTACAGCGCCCTAGAAGTTTTTTTTTTGGTAACATTTCAGTGCGTCTTCATGGTAAAATAAACCGGTGTGTGTGTGTGTGTCCTGGAGACGATGAGACTCAGTGGCCCGCATGGAAACACAGAGCTCAGCTTTCCATCTGCTGTCGATGTAGTCCGGGGTTTTTGTGTTTCTAGTTGTGGTTGTTGACTCGCTATCAACAGCACGAGTGTGTGTGTTGCTCCCACGTTACCAGTGGAGCATGTGCTCTCTGTTATTTTAGGTTACATACAGGGTTGCGTTACACAGCTGCAGTGAATTTTGTATTTTCTTACTTAAAGATGGTGGTGGCAGTGTAAACTACGCAGAGTTTAGATTTGAGTGTGAAAGCTGCTCCTCAGGTAGGCTAATAACGGACGAGTTTGACGATCTTTGTGGGGGAACAAAACACATCTCACATTGACTCCAGAGAACAATGCCTATTAGGCGTTTTGGGGGTCACAAGTCTCTGGTCTCTCTCTCTCCAAAGCTGTCGTATGGTTACAGGAAAATGAATATTTCAAGAACTGGCTACCGTGTTTTTTCTGCCAACTCCACCACCGCCTGCACCGAGCTAGCCAAGAAGATCACAGAGTAAGTGAGGTTTATACAATACCATCATGATTAATGTCATTTCATCTTTTGTAATTTTGAGGATTGGCCCATTTTTTTTACCTCCCATGTACCCTGACAGTGCACCTGGGAGTCAAAGCTGCAGGTGAAACTGAGGCCGCTGGGTGTATATTGTTTGGAATGTAATGCAGTGAAGTTAGGCAAAAGCCTACAAACAAACAAACAAACACTGCATATAGGCTAACATAATGGTTTGATGCCACAGGGCAGGGGGTACACTGTAACAGATTAAGTGTCTGTACTAAGGGAGAATAAACATATACTGCAAAATAGTTTAGTTATCTGTTGTTTGTCTGATTTCTAACACTTTTAGCTCGTCACTTGAAACTGAAACGTATACCCTTACAAACAAGGCTCAGCATCAATTTATGATATAGTGCTTTAGGTTTAAGTGGTCTTAGTGCGTAGGTTGTTATGGACACAGCAACATTAGCCCTACAGCCCTAATTTATCATTGTCAGCACACAGATCAGCTCCCGCCTCCTCCATGTCTGGCAGTTGATATTGAAGTCCCCTCCTTTTCAACCAATCAGATGCTAGGACATTTGCCCCCTGAGAGGCCACGTCAGAATGATCTAATATGACTTAACTTTCGGAGATATTGGTAGGGACTGCTTCTGGACAGGTGTCACTTCTTTCTGTTTAAAAATGTGATCTAAACCTGGCTATGACACTACCTTTAGGGCAGCACTCAAAAGTAAGGATGTCCTGTTGTCCTGAGAATAAAGTTTCTGGGACAGTAAAGCAATGTATCATTACAAATAAAATTATTGTGTGTGCAGAATATATAACAGAGACACAATTGTTAGACGTTCAAATTTGACAAATGAGGTGACCACAGCTCTACATTACGCCACACAAGTGCTTACGCACACAAAATCAATCATTGTGTTGCCAGTTCAACTTTTGCGCTAGATTTAGTGACTTTTCAGGCTTTCTTAGTTACATTATTTATAAAAAGTGACTAACAACAAATTCAGGAAAATGTGAGAAATATATTCAGTTATATTGTAGTTCAGTCCCATGCATGCTGCTCAGAGTAATTGCAGTCCATGCCTTTTCTGCCAACATCGCCGGGGTCTCTTCCTCTCCTCTTGTGCCATATGGCAGTCAGCAGGTGTGGCACATTTGACCTTCTCTCTCTCTTTCTTTCCGGATCTCTGGATTACGGTGTTCCTTTAGCTTATATGTAAATAGTTAGTTTGAGCTTGTAAATATTTAAATAGTTTGTTAATATTCCCTTTGAAGATTTTCTTTTTACTTTTTGTACCTAACCCATTAATGTTTTGATTGTGAATTTGTGAGCGTTTGGCTAAATAATATTAATGTTCAAATCATGTATGTAAATTTGCACTGCAGTTGGCAGTGATCCATTTATTGATCCAACTGTTAAAAATGAACAAGAAACAGTAACTCAACCAATAACAAAGTAAATAATGAAAACTTATTGTGGCTAAACACCTCGGGTAATTTAAATGTTTTATTCAGATAAAAGTGCAGGGAACAACTAGCAGAACTTCCATGGCGGACCAGAGTGAGTCCGAGTTACTGAAATAAAGTAAAAACTAGTATATTCATTATGTAGAATGAATTATAAAACTTCAATTTGGGACAATGTTAAGTCAAGTCTGGGACAGTTGAAAGTAGAATTTGGGACAATAGTGGGACAAAAGGTTAATTTTGTTGACATGAATATGATGGAATTTTTGGCAGAAAATACTCAAATATTGGAAACTTCAGTTAGAAATCATTCAGCCTTCAAGTAATTGATCAAACCCTTGTTCTAGCATTCACTATAAGGCTCTTTTAAGTCTTAAGCCCTTTTTCCCTTAATCATCATTTTTTTTAAAAGTGTAATCGCAGATGAACAACATGTTGTGCACATACACTGTACAGTGAAGATGAAATATTTTGTTTTATTAGGCTATGATTAATTTTATATCTTGGCATAGAAGATTTAAGAGGACCTGTCAGTGAGAATAACTGCGATGAAAGGAGTGTACCGTGCAGAAACCGGTCTGTTAGGGGACTAAGCACGTCGCACTTATTGTACACTGGTTGGTACTGTGGCAGCCAGACATAATTTACTAGGCAGTGATTCATAGGACATTTAAATGGGTATTGGCTCAGTAGAAAAACAAGTGATACCAGGTAAGATTGGATGGAAAACAGGAAGTTTGTTTGTCAGTTTGTAGTCCTTATAAAAACACTGACTGATATCTTCTCTTGTTTCCTTGTGGAAATCAGGGAACCGCCCTTCAGACTGGTCAAACTTGTCAGACAGCCAAGTTGCATTGCTCAGATAGTGAAAAACGGCTTAACTTCCTCAGTTTGCACTGTTTGGCAACATTGCAGAACATTATTAGGGAGGCCAAGTAGAGTTTTCTTGCAGGGCAAAGGTTGAATTACAACATCACACAGAAAATGTCAATGAGTTCTGTACTGAATATTTACTCTGTGGTGCACGTGGTGACTGGGCTGTGGTTTAAACACCCCTGCAACTAAAGTCATCCTTTTTTTTTTAACCATATATTTCTTCACTAAATGTGATTAATAGAAGGTTGTTTATACCTTCTCCAAACTGGGTCTTTTGCCTTGATAGGAAAATGGATATATGAACAGAAATAATACTTCAAGCACATATCCCATATCCTTTGATTGTTCTTTTTTTATTTGTCTCACTTAAAGGTACCGTCATCATAATAAATGATGGTATTATGTCAAATATCGGAAGGTTGAGGGATGTAAACAGGCAGACAGGCCTGTTTTGTCTAGCGGGATCCCTGCTGACTGTCCTGGCAGAGACTGTCACAAAGCCAAGCTCTCACTCAGCTGTGGCGTGCTTTAAAGAGCCATCAAGTTCATTCTTTAATATTGGCACTGTTCTGTGATGGTTCGGTTTTCAAATTAACAGCATCATTTTCTGCCCAAAGCACAACTATGTTTATGATGCCTGGGCTTGTTCAGAATTTGACTTGATGCAACTAGACCGTTCTACATTAATCACTGTCAACTTAGTGAATGTTTGTGGCAAGTGTTTTTGTGAATGTTTTGATGTTTTACTCTTTGAAGCTGGTCTACTGAACCTTAACAGGCTTCCTTTATGGCTTCCACATTTTGTTTCCCCAGAGCCCCCCATCTACTATCAGCCCATTGTAATTCCTCAATTTCATATTAATGG